GTGGCGGGCGCCTGTAGTCCCAGCTACTCGGGAGGCTGAGGCCGGAGAATGGTGTGAACCCGGGAGGCGGAGCTTTCAGTGAGCTGAGATCCGACCACTGCACTCCAGCCTGGGCGACAGAGTGAGACTCCGTCTCAAAAAAAAAAAAAAAGAAAAAAGAAAAAAAGTAACTACTGGCTGAGTGTGGTGGCTCACACCTGTAATCCCAGCACTTTGGGAGGCCGGGGTGGCCAGATCACCTGAGCTCAGGAGCTTGAGACCAGCCTGGCCAACATGGCGAAACCCCATCTCTGCTAAAAACACAAAAATTAGCTGGGTGTGGTGGCGGGTGCCTGTAATCCCAGCTACTCGGGAAGCTGAGGCAGGAAATCATTTGAACCCAGGAGGCAGAGTTTGCAGTAAGCCGAGATCACACCAAAAAAAAAAAGAGAGAGAGAGAGAAAAGAAAACTCATGACCCAAAGCTGTAACTCAAGAGTTAACAGGATGAAATGCAGGGTAGAGAAAGGCATGGTAAGCAGCCAGAATAGCATGTGCAAAGGCGCAGAGGCATCCAAGGAATGTTCAAGGAGGGCTGGTCCTCACCAGCAGCCTGGCAGGCATAGGCGAAGACAATGATGTCATCGAAAGGCCAAGTGTAGTTGGGATGTGGGGGGTAGAAGGCAAGCTGGTCTGCCCCTTCAGCCCGCAGGGATACCAGGAAGGTGGAGTGGACCATGGGGACGCGGAAGCAGCCCCGGCGCTGGCGGTTCTTGGTGGGGAAGTACTCGGCTGTGCGGCGGTAGTAGCCCTGGGGAAAGGGGATGCTTTGGGCTGTAAGAGGGCTCCCCTGCCCCTGCCCACAGACCCCAAGGCCTTCAGGCTCTCTGCTCTCCACGTCCCTCCTTCCAGGACCTCAAGTCCACCCAAGGCCCCCATCCTGGCCTCACCTGGGGGGTGATCCCACACCAGAAGTTGGAGTAGTAGGTCTGGGAGTCCAGCATTGGGGCCACCACTGGAAGCCCCTGCCCCATGAGAAGCCTCAGAGTCTGGTTGTTGGTCAGAATGTTGTCTGTGTCTGCAAACTTTGGGGAGGGGATGTCACAGGCTCCAGCCCTGCCAGGGCTGCAGCCCCCCAAAGAATTCACTAAGTGGTCCTGCCAGAGACCCAGCGTGGCTCCTAGGATCCAATGGGAATACTCTTACAGAGGTCTAACTCACTCAGTAGACCCCTTTCTGGACCAAGGCTCTAGTCTGGGGCACTGACTCAGGGATTCGGTCCAGAGATTATACCTGAGTTGCTGAGCTAAGACCTTTATCTGGGATCTGGCTTAGAAAACGGGTCCAAACACCTACTCTGAGCTCTAGTTCAGAGATCCAGGCTCAGTTTATACCCTGGGCTCCAGCCCAGTAATTGAGGCTTAGTATATAGTATATACAATGGGATCTATCTGAGGGGTCCAGGCTTAGTACCTAGTCTGAGCTTTTAACATAGGGATCCAATCTGAACATCTGGTCTGGGCTCTGGCCCAGATAGCCTGCTGAAGGACCCAGACTTCCGGTGGGTCAGTCACACCCAGATTTTTCTTTTTTTTTTTTTTTTTTTGAGACTGAGTTTCACTCTTGTCACCCAGGCTGGGGTGCAGTGGTGTGATTTCAGCTCAGTGCAACCTCCACCTCCCAGGTTCATGCGATTCTCATGCCTCAGTCTCCTGAGTAGCTGGGATTACAGGCACCTGCCACCATACCCAGCTAATTATTATATTTTTAGTAGAGACGGGGTATCACCATGTTAGCTAGGTTGGTCTCGAACTCCTGACCTCAGATGATCCACCTGCCTTGGCCTCCCAAAGTGCTAAGATTATAGGCGTGAGCCACTGCGCCCAGCCTATACCCAGATTTCTATCAGGGACAGATACTACCACCTTTCAGAAGCCCAATTCTAGCCAGACTTCCTTACCAGGATATAGTCAGCCCCCCAGTCCCTGGCAAAGGTGAGGGCTTCCTGCTTCAGCTCCATCAGAAACTGGTGCCTTTCTTTGGTCCAGTGCTTGGGACCCTCTTCATCTGGGTAGAACCTGAGGGGGTAGAGAGGTGAGATGTTCCCATGGGGTACATGCCCCTCCCTCTCTGCAAGGCAGTGGACAGAGCCTTGGCTTGGAGGCTGTGGCTCTGGGCTGTCCCTTTTCCTCTCTGGACTGCAGCTGTTCTCCATCTTCCCCAGTACCCTTCCCCTCAGATCACCACCTGGGCTCCCCCTCGGGCCTCCAGACCACAGCGGCATAGTCATCGCCCACAGCTGCCAGCCACTCCTGCAGCATCTCTGTGGTGTTGTCCACATTGTGGTCCGTGGCACACCTGGGGACAGGAAGAAAAAAGGCTGAGGGGGCACAGCCACAGAAGGATTGAACCCCAAAGCAGCCTTGACCCCGAAGCACCAACGCCTTTGAGGCCGGGCTCTCCTTGGAAAAGTGAAGGGTAGGCATGTTACAGCAGAGGGGCTGGAGGCAGCACAGCCAGGTCCCCACCACAGTTCTGTGACCTGCTCTGTGACCTCAGGCAAGTCCCATCTTTCTCTGGGCTTCACGTCCTCCCTCTATAACTTAAGCTTTCTTGCCTATGTCATGGACCAAGAGAAGAGAAGACGAAAGTATATATGTGTGTGTGTGTGTGTGTGTGTGTGTGTGTATATATATATATATTTTTTTTTGAGACATAATCTTGCTCTGTCGCCCAGGCTGCAGTGCAGTGGTGTGATCTCGACTCACTGCAACCTCCATCTCCTGGGTTCAAGTGATTCTCCTGCCTCAGCCTCCCAAGTACCTGGGATTACAGGCACGCGCCACCATACCCGGCTAATTTTTGTGTGTTTAGTAGAGACGGGGTTTCACCATGTTGGCCAGGCTGGTCTTGAACTCCTCACCTCAGGTGATCTGCCCACTTCAGCCTCCCAAAGTGCTGAAATTACAGGCGTGAGCCACGTTGCCTGGCCAATGAATGCATTTTGAAAGATGAAAAGTACCTCGACTTTAAGGATCCATCCCACCTGCCACATTCCCTGGTAACCTTCGTTAGGTGGGCAGATACCTACCTGTGTGACCTATGGCTGTGTGACCACAGGCCAGCCCTTGTCCCTCTCTGAATGGGGACTAGACAGAAGAGCTGCTGCTTTCCTCCACCCCCAGGTTGTAATAAGGACCAAACCATGCTCTGCCAGTCCCTGAGAATGCAGACGGGCCCAAGCTCCGCTGTCATGGAGCACACCCTCCCCTCTCCTGGGGAAGGGGCTCCCATAACAGAGGTGGGGGCTTTAGTCAAGTGCCCAGGTTTTGGGTGATGCTGCCCCTTTAAGCCAATTCCCCAGAAATGAAGACTACGTGTCAAGTCTTACAGGGGTGGGAACTAACAAACTCCCAAACTGTGGTCATTGTGGGCGGCCTCCCCAGGCCAGGGCTCCACCCCCCCAGCCCAACTGGGGTGTATTGTAAAGGGTGGCTTGTCATTTTTCTCAGTTTACCCCCAACCTCAGCCAGGGACTCCTCCCTGTTCTGATGTCTACAGACCTGGGGTTGTGGCCTCCGATCCCAGTGCCCTGTGGGCACAGAGATGCCAGAGGGGAGAGGCTCCAGGAAGGGGGACTGCCCTTGGCTGACAGGATCCTGCCCCTCTACCAAGAGAGCTGGCCCCAGCCCAGAGGGAAAGGGAGCCGGTCTGACTCCCCTGCACAGCCCGGAGCCCAGTGCTGATGGCACCCCCCACCTGTGCCCAGAAACCTCCAGCCTGGCCGATCCCTGCCACGTTGGGCCCCAGGGGACTTCAGAGGTTCCTGTCTGCTTCTCTTCAAATCCAGCCAACCACAGGTCCCACCGGGGTTGAGCTGGGCCCTGAAGGCTGGGGTGAAAAGGGCTGGCTGCGCCCAATCTACACCCAGGGAAGGCCCCAAGAGGAAGGAGTAGGGGACCAGAAGGAGGGGTGGGTGTCTCACGTCGGCCTGTGGCCTCAGAGGTCTCCCAGCAGGGGGTTCAGGGTCCTGTCTGGGGGCTCGGGCTGGCAGGGCCGTCTGTGAGGGGAGGGGCCTGTCTCTGTGGTGTCTGGGCAGGGAGCGAGCAGACAGGGCCGCCGGGGGCGGGGGCCATCTGCGAGGCTGGGGGTTAGGTGCCCACTGGGTGCCAATGCCCGTGTCTCTCACCAGAGGGCCATCCTGGCCCGGGGGTAGTCCAGCCGCTCCAGCGCGCCCAGGTAGTGGGGCAGCGAGTGTTCGGCATTGCGGGCCAGGATGGCAAGGACCACGGCGGGC